TGCAGGGGCATGTTCATCCTTTTGCTCTTTGATGAGACAGTGGTCTGCTATGCCGTGTTCAAGGAGAACCACAGCCTGCCTACCAGAAAGGCAGTGGGACCATGTCTGTGATCATGTCCCTTAGCCCTTTGCACATCAGCCAGTGCTGGGATGGTTATGTGGCTAGAAAAATTGGTAAAGCAAGAACCACTGTTCAGCACAATTCCCACAGCACCTCAGAAGCCTGATGCATCCATGCAGTTGTGCACAGGTGTGCATTTGCTCCCCTCTCACCCCCAACATGCAGACATGATTTGGCTGAGGTGCTGTTTTCTTTAGCATGGGCTGGGATCTCTTTGCAAATGGTTGGGAGGCACAGTGGGGATATCTCTTTAGAGGCCTGCACTGCAGTAGTGCCAGTTCTCTGCAATATGGGATGTATTATAAAGTGTGCTCCTTTTCCTTGCAGTGAATTTGCTCAGAGGATGGCCCAGGCATTAAGCAGGCACCCAGACTCTGCTCTTAGCACAATCAGTCTAGCTGGCAACCAGCTGGAGGACAGAGGTACCTCATGCTCCCATCATAATAGACTGGGTCCCTTTACTGGGCACTAAATGAATCAGAATAACAGCATTTGTCATGTACACAGTAAGAGAAACTGGGCAGAGTGTTCTCTAGCATGGTGGGAAACAACGTAGACTGGGGGTGGCCAGCCTGTGGCATGTGTACCACCAGTGGCATAAGCAGTCTGTGTATGGCATGTGGCAGAGCAGGAAGGGGATAGGCAGCACAGTAGCAGACAGGCCAGGGGCCAGAAAGCAGAGCAGCAGATCAGGAAGGGAGCACAGAGTATGAAGCAGAAAGCAGAACAGCAGATTGGACAGAGGAAGGGGATGGGAGTGGCAGTCAGGGAGGATGCAGGACTAATTTATCGCACATCTGCCAAAAAGGCCACCCTCCCATTAGTGTAGACTGTACCTTTATATGTTTAAGGGCCCTATAAATCCACAAGAAGAGCTGGGGGGGAAGCAAGGAATAGGGATCAGGCAAGCAAAGGGAACTGTGCCAACAGCTGGTGCTTTACACTCAGCTGTGACATGTCTTATCCCTTGGGCTGTAGCCTGCTATCTCTTCACCAGGACAGACAGAGCCTGTGCCAAGTGCTTTTTGGGTGCCCTTCAAGGAAGAACAGTGGATAGGGTCAGTTGGTGTGACCCTGCCAGGACCTTGGGCAAGCAGCTAGTCTCCCTTCTGAGTTCAGCTAAACTTCTCCTGAGTGAAATTGAAAAGCCCACCTTTTCCCTAGTGTGTGGGGTGGGAGGGAAATGAGGGCAAGAACGGGGCCCCTTGAAGGATTATTTTAGGGTTATTGCATTGCTGTCTTGTGATTTTCATTTTGTTTTGCATATTTACTACAAGAGCTGCAGATGGGAACTTGAGTTCAAAATCAAATAAACAACATTCAAGTTACTGCTCATGAACCAAAGGACTTTCTTCATAGCTAGTCATGAAATCATTTGCCTTACTGCAGACTTAGCACAGGGCTGTATAAAGCTTCTCCATGAGCAGAAGGAACAAACCTGCTGCCTGTTGTACAACTCAGCCATCAACCTTAGCACCGAGTTCTTTTCAGGGCTCGATACAAGCCTTTTCCATCAATATGAATGAAGGGAGCTGCTGCATCTGAGCACAGCATTATTTCATCAGGCTCAGGATGCTTGCTTCTGGCAGGTGGCTTGAATTTGATGTTCACTGGGAAGGCAAATTTGCCTTGAGAATTGCCAGCCTGGTCAGGTTGGTGGAGGGCAAGCTGCTTCTCCTTTGCTTACCACTCCAGATGGCCAGTGTTTGCTGATAAGTGATAATGTTCCTAGTATGTTCTTGAATAAATGGCCAAGCTAGCGGGATCAGGATGTTACCTGTTACCTCCTTGTTGTAGTGACTTAGTAGACTGCCATGCGTAGTCCCAGGGGTAACTCTGCTCTTTCCTCAGGGATAATTGCTTTCAGCCGGCACTTGGAGAAACGGTCAAAGGGCCTGCAGAGCCTGAACTTCTCCAGGACCTCGCTGACTGCAAAAGGTATCTGGTTTCCTTGGTGTTGCTTGGGGTCTGGGAATGGGGCTCAGAGATCCTCTGTGCCACCTTTGAGGGCTCAGGCAAGCAAAGGGAACTGTGCCAACTTTGAGAACATCTGCAGAGGCCATGTTGCTCTATGCTAGTGCTGGCAACCTTCCCAAACTGGGCAGGGACTGGCAGCAGCCAGAACAGCTGGCCTTATAGGAGCAGGAGTGTAAAAGGGGGTACAGCAGGGGCTGCTCTGGCTTGCATTTCCCCTTATGATGTTCATGGAAGATTGATGAGGCTTCAGCACTTGCCAGGCAATATAATTTAAAGGTACAGTCTAGTCTAGTCTAAATGATGCAATGAATTCTCATTGTCCTGGGGCAGCTTTGCCCCCTTGGCTGGCTTGGGAACTTTGAGTGGGTGTTGCAGAGGGAGATATTTTCAATGTCAAGAAGCCAGAGGGCTCTGCTGGGCACACTGCTGCTGGATTCTTGTAGCATGTGAGGGCTGACACTTTAAAAGTGTTTCTTTATCTCAATGGGGAGAGCTGTAGGACAAAAAACAAGCTGCTGGGGAAGTTGTTGAATCCAGTGGTTTTCAAGCTGTCTGGGATTGTTTAGGAGCAGAGAATCCTGCCTTTGTGCAAGGGGGCTGGACTAGATGACCCTCAAGGTCCCTATCAATTTTATGGCTTTAAGTCCAAGGTGCCTTGTAGGTTACGTACGGATCATTAAGGAGAGAATCCTCTATGGAATTGCACCCAACATGGGAAATCACTTCTTTGCTGATCTTCCCAGATTTCCCAGCTTCACCAAGCCACAGTCCAAGCCAAGGGAGGCTGCACTAGGGTGAACTGAGACAACAAGGTTCTGGAATACTGCTCTTGCTCTCTCTGTGTCCATTAGCTGTGAATCCACTCGCTCACCACAATGCTTGCCTGCCACACGGGGTTACTTTTCTGATTTCTTCTTTCTCCCACCTCACAGGAATGAATACTTTATGCCAGTCCCTTGCAGCAAATGGAGTCTTCAGTACTTCCCTTCATCACCTGGATCTCTCTGGAAATCCTGGCATTCTTGCCACAGAGGATGCTAGCGTATGTATGAAGAGTGTGTAGGTGGCGGGATGGTTTTAGCCAGAGAAATGCTGATAATACCGAAGCAGATTTAGAGATCCAATACTTTTCTCTCATGCTGGCTTGCACGTGGAAGTAGGTGCCCACACACACACACACACACACACACGCACACCCATGCATGTGCACATGTACACATGCAGGTTTGTTCTTCTCTTATGTGTGTACCTGCATATATGCACACCGCATTTTGGTATTTTCTGGAAGATTAAAGATTTAGGTAGGGGGCAATCTGGCCCTTCAGGTGGGCCTGCTGCTGCAAGGTTTGGGCAGGATTTTCAGCTATCCATATTGTCCTTAATGCCAAAATATTTGGAAGTTGCTGCTGGTGTTGGGTGCCCAGCCTGAGACTACATGAACCCAACTCTGAGGTGCCCATCACACTCCATGCACGTTGACTTCAGCAAGAATTCTGGACACTCAGTGTTTCTGAAAATCTGGTGCTGAGGCCCCTGATTATATCCTCAGAATCACAGGCAGGTTATCAAATGTGGTCGCAGGTTGCTTTGCTCCTTAGTTGCCAGTACTGAGAATCATACTTGGCTGCCTCCTTTTTGGTTTCTCTCACCTTTCTCTGATGCATGGAGAAAGGGCCTGAGAAGCCACCCGGAGGCCTGTACAAGAAGGAAGGGGAGCCCTTGGCCAGGGGTGTGTACTAAATCCTGGTGGATTTGGCTTGTCTTTGCTTTCTCCTTTCCTTTTATAAATGCCAGCACTAAAGAGGGAAAGAACTTGACTGGCTGCCAGGCCCCAGGCGTGAGTGACTGGTGCCTCCTGAATCTGGGGTGGGGGGGACACCTGCAGAAGCCGTTGATGATGGCAGCCCTGTTGGGGGGCACCAGCCCTACCGACAGCATCAGTGTCAGCTGTCAGGAGGGGCACTGGCCCCGTCAGGGGTGGCATGTGCACCCCCATGCACCCCCTACCAGTCTCCTATGGCCCCAGGTAACAGTGAAGACTCCCTGTGGCCCAGGCCCCAGATCACCATCTGCAGCCAAGAATATCCCACATTTGACTCCCTTTGGGAAGAAATGCTGCCTTCGGAGTCCCTCCTAGGAACTACTTAAACCCATGTCTTTTTCTTGCAGAGTTTGCATAGTTTCCTCAGCTGCTCCAACTCATTGTCTCACCTTAACCTGTCTGGGACAGACTGTGCTTTGGATGCAGTAAGTGACCAGCCACTTCTCTACACTGACCACAGCACTCATGCACACTTTACATGGCTCAGGAAGCCCTTGCTGTACAGCAGCATGGCACTGCTGTCATCGCTGGGGCTTGTGCCTGGGTGTTGCAAACCGTAGGTCTGCTGTGCAGAATGTGCAATCAAAGAGTCAGTATTCTGCATGCCAGTGCAGCCCACCCCACCCACACCACATCCTCTTGCAGATGAGCTAACACAGACTGCATTTCACCTGGTGAGGAGTCCTTCTTGCAGAGAGAAGTAGCAGCTTCACACTGTATGCTGCGTGTCTCATGCCCAATGATCAAAAGTGAAAGTCTGGATGCAGCAGTTTATTAAACATCAGAAATAAGTCTCTGCTCCAGTATCCAGGCTTGGCTCAGCCTTGGCACTGAGCACTGCATTTAGAGCTCAGTCTTGAATTACATCAGCTCTCTGAACCTGCAGCTGACTTGTTCAGCCAAAGTCAGGGTTCCAGATGAGCTCGTTGTCTCCTGAAGCTCCCTGTGCTGTCACTGCTATGTGTAAGTCTTCCTATCGCCTTCACTGACAGTGAAAAATCTTAAAAGGCTGTTCTGGCCTGGAGTATCAGTGTCCTCCTCTCTTTGACTCCATCTCAGGTTGCTCATTTACAAACCAAAAGTGCCCCCTCTCTTTATCCCAAACAGCCAGCCCTGCCAACTCCTCATGGTCTGAGAGTCAGCTGGCTCCTTTCCCCCTTGTGTGTCATCATCACCAATAAGTGTCTGCAAGGCCTCTTATGCCTTTGGTGACACCCTGTGGCCCCACTGCCCTTTCTGGCTTGCAGCTGGTGGTGGCCTGATATTAACTGGGAGCTGCAGGTGCTGATAGCTCTGAAAAGCAGGTCATTAATAAACATGTCTGTTGGTGGGAAAGAAGGAACAGAAACCCCCTCCCCCACAGCTGGACTTGTTCTGCAGAGCTCCTGGGACTAATAAATAGCACTTGGTCATTCAGCTCAGCAGATGTCACTGAGCCACCAGGGGACCCATTTTGGTTGCACTTTCATAGCAGAATCGTGCCTTGAAGCCCTCCGGTAGTGTCTGTGTAAAACAAGCAACAAACACACTAAAGGGCTGTCATTAGTGTTAATGAGGAGGCATGGCCCAGTTGTGAGTGAGTGAGCTTGGGAGACATGGGTTCAGTTCTCTGCTGTTCCATGGATTTCCTACATAACACTAGGCAAGTCATTTAGCTTCCCTGGGCCTCATGTCTCCTGCCTACAGCAGGTCACAGCAGGAGAGACAAGTCCCTGATCCCACAGCCTGGTGGAGCAGGTGGAGGTTCCCTCTCAGGGCAGTATGAAGGGAGGCGTTTAGTTCTTCGAAGGTGGCAGCAGCATTTCTGCTTCAGAAACATGGAAGCTGTGGTCTGTGTTGAAAGGAGTTTGAAGAGGGATTTGATGTGGGAGCATGATTGTCTTGCAGTCCAGGAGCAACAGGGTAGCATAGGAAGCCACTGAGGCCAGGGAAGGAGGGGGAATGAAGGGGTGAAGTGAAGAGTGAGCTGGGTGGCCCTTTCCTCATTTTACAGTTCTTCCTTTCCTTTTTAAGCTTTTTGCAGCATTAGCCGAGGGATGCCGTGCTAACCTTGTGCATCTGGATCTCTCCAAAAACATCTATTCACACAAGTAAGCTCAAGGATTTCCCCTCCCTTTATCACTGTATCTGTGTCTAGCTGCTGGGGCTCAGAGGTGTGCTTGTCTTCAGTGTGCTGTCACCTGTATGCTTGGAGGTGCTTCTCACTGCTTTGTTAGTGCAGTAGCTGTGATTGCCACAGGTGCAGTTCCAGGAATGAATTCATGGCACTTTGCTCCCTCTTCTCTAGGCAAGATTGTTGAACATGGGCCCAAGCAGCCAATCAGGTGACCTAGTAGTTCTTCCAGTGTTGTCTTTCTGCTTTGTGTGTCCATCACACTGCTGCATTCCTTATAGCAAAGTCTCACAGCATCTCCAGAAACTCTCCTGGGAGTGAATTAATCCTGGTTGCTCCCAAGTCATTTTTCTCTGAGAGTGGCTATTTTTACTTTGGGAGAAAAAGCCTAAATGTCTGTACACTTGTGGTTTCTCCTGGGAAAGCAGTGACTCTTCTGGGAGAAACTAAATGTCTATATGAGGCCTCTGTCCTTAACACTCCCTGAGGAGAACTCTGTGCTGTTGTGATCAAATGTTTAGTTATGAATTTCAAGAAAACAGGGACAGAAAAACCGTCTCCCTCCCGCTATCTGAATGGGGACAGAAGCACTCAGAATGAACACACTGTGGACACAGATATTTGCATTATTTTTTGTTCAGCTTAAACATCATCAACAGGACATCCTCTGCTGTGACCTGTTTGCAGGGCTATTTTGCACCAGTTGAACAAACAGGTTTGCAGTCACACCTGAACTTAGACTGGTGCAGCTTTCTTATGAAAGCAAAGCACTCAAGCACTTTATGGCAGGGGACATTTTTTTTCTTCAGTAATACAGTGATATGTGATTATATGGTCCTGTAATGGGTAGAAGGTGGGATACTTAGTAAAACCAAGGTGCTGTGGTCAGGGGATCTGTGTTCTGTGCTCAGCATTGATGCTGACCTCCTAGGTGACATTATGATTTTTCAGTTTTCTTTTTACATTGTTATTTGTCAATTTTACCTGCTAAAAAATGAGGATAATACATTATTTTGCAGGGGGCAGGGAGGATCAGTTAATTAAAATGCTTACTGCATTGAGAGTTTCAAACGGAAAAGCAAAGCAAAGTGTAGAAATGCAAATGATTTTAAATAATAATAGAGTCCTTTATGATAACAGTTGAGCAGAATCTCAAAGATCATTTGAAAGAGTCTTGTTACATGTATATGAATTGTGCTTTTGATTTTTCATGCTCTGGTTGCTGCTTGTATATGTGGTCTATTGGCATTACAGGGTGCTTTTGTCTGTAGTCTTGACCTGGTTTGTCTCTCATATAGAGGAAGTTTCCATGATTGTCACAGATGAGAAGCAGGAGGGCTCTGTGCTCCCCTGTCAGAGACTTAGGTACTGTTTTTAGCTTGGATCTCCCCCTCGAAATCTTGCAATTTGTAGATAAGAACACATCCTCCTTGTTAAAGGTTTGTGTATTTAGGGGTGTAGCAGGAGGCTTGGTGCTCCTGCTATTTTAAGAGGAGGCAGACGGTAGATAAAGCAGTCTGCAGATGCTGCAGGAGGCAGTTAGGAGTCACGTGACCCAAAATGGGGCTGGGCTTACAGGATTTAAGCCCAGACCCTGAGCTGGGGTTGTGGCTTGATCCTGGCAGCTGAGATGCAAAGAACTCCTGAACAGCTGCAGCAAGGCTCCTGGCAAACATCTGGACCGGGATAAGCAGGCTAGTGGTCTGAGAATTGAGACAAAGGGCGGTAATGGTCTTAGGTGGCCTAAGAGTGGGGCCAGGGCCCAAAAGATAGGAGACAAGGTTAAAGGGCAGGGCTGCAGCTGAAGGGTTGTGAAAGCAAGGAGGGTCAGGGACCTTTAGCTTGCAAGGGGTGAGAGGCAGAGCCATTGATTCATAACACAGGCAGGGCGCACAGGGCCAGGGAACCCAGAGGTCTCAACTGTCCTAGGAAGAGCCAAAGGTCAAGGAGGGGCTACAGCCAGTGACTACCTGGGTCAGGGAGCCTGGAGATCTCAACTGGCCCAAGAGCAGGGCCAGTGCCCAGGAGGTGCCAAAGGTCAAGGAGAGGCCATAGCCAGAAACTGACAGGGTCAGGGACCTGCAGCCCATAGAGAGGCTGAGTCAGGGCCAGGGGCCCAGTCCCTCAGGAGTGGTGGGATCAGGGTCAAGGACCCAAGACCATACCCAGGAGTAGCCAAGATGGGTGAAGTCCCCAGGTGTGGGCAGAAAGAGACAGCTTGATAGTGAACGGTGACATCTGTGAGGCATGGGCGTGGTGTAAGGGGCAGTTGAGCCATATATAAGCCCTTAAAGCAAAGTCGAGACACCTGAATACCAGCTTGGGATCAGGAATTCCTGGGGCAGCCTCCTTTTTTCAAAGATCTAAGAATAACAAGGTGTGGCAGGTTAGGTGAAGTAGAACAAGCATGAGGAGTGAGGGCAGAGCAGGGGCTGAGTGACCACCAGTGGGCGTCACGGCCACCCTGGGAGGAGCGCTTGTTACAGAGGGTTTCATCTGAAAGACGTTGCAGCTATTCTAAAGCATTGGGTTCAGTGATGTGTGCATTGCTACTAGCAGAGGGATGCAGAGAATTTATGGTAAAAATCAGCATTCCAGGAAGAGGAGGGGAGAATAGGTTGGGATATGATGCCTGTTTTTTGTTTCTTTTAGAAGGGTGAAAGATGTCACTCCTGCTATCAAGCAATTCTTCAGCAACGCCTCCGTCCTCAAGTATGTTTCATTAGCTGGAACCAAGCTGCCTCCAGACGTTCTCCGGTAAGGAAATACAGTGGAGTCGCATCTTACGCGGGTGTTAGGTTTTAAAGTCAACGTGTAAGGCGAAAATCGCATATAGTCAAAATTAGCCTTGAAAATCCCTTAAATCGCCCATATTGGGAGGTCGTCAGAGCTTGATGTCGATCCAGGAGACGATGGGCCAGGCTTGGGTGATGGAGCGCGAGTCGTAGACAAAGTGGTTGGCTCTGGTTCAGCTCGAGAAGTTGATTGCGTATCTTTAAACACTAGAATCACACTCAGCGTGGCGAGATGCTCACACTATGAGAGGCGGGAACTCATTGAGTGGAATGGTGAGCGGAATTGCCCGCACTATTTAAATTGTTATTTTTCTCTTTTTTTTTGCCGAGCGCGTATAGTTGAATTTGCGTAAGTTAAATACACGTATGATGCTACTCCACTGTATTGCACTGGCATGACTCCTACAGACCCCCAGAGCCAGATCCACCGGGAGCCTGCCCCTTGCAGTCAGTAGAGACCCTGCCACTGACTCCAGTATGCTTTGGGCCAGGCCTGGCATTTGTTTAGTGAAATGCATGGTTGGTGTTTGGGGCTGGGCTTTCCAAGGAACAGTAGGCCAGATTTTCAATGGTTTCTCATGCCCTATCAGAGCTGGGTTTACAAACATGTTCGGCACTGGACAAGCCACACTCCACTGACAATCAGCCCTTACTGTGTAAACGAGTGTAAGTGTCCTCTGTGTGTGTGTGTGTGTGTGTGTATGCATATGCATGTGTGATATAAAAACATGGTCCTCTAGAACAGTGGTGCTCAATCTTTTACTCCTGTGGGCTGGATGGGGAGTGTGTTACCTGGGGCAGGTGTGGTGGCTGTTACCTGGGACAGGTGTGATGGCAAAGAGCAGCCTGGCCTTGATCCAGTTGCGTGGGGAGAAGGGCGTGTGGTCCTTCCCTGATCCAGCTGTGTGGGGAGAAGGGGGTGTAGCTCAGCCCTGATCCTGCTGCACAAGGAGAAGAGTGCCTGGCCTGACCCCATCTGACTATGGACTCCCTTAGCGCAAAGCCCAGTTAATGTTTCTAGCTGTCCTCTGTGGCAGTAGGTTTCCTGTGTGTCCAGACTAGGTGGTCTTTGGGCCCAGTCTGTTCCTAATTGATCCTTACCTAATTTATAGCCCTGTGGGAAGCCAGGGCAAGCCTTTGAGAGTGAGCCTCCTACTGCACAGCAGAGGATAGTAGAGGGACCCCAAAGTGCGTGCAGTGCCAGATGCTCCATGGAGTCCAGAAGAATCTTAATCGGAGACTCAGTTAGGTGGAAGGTGCTCTTACACTGTGGTGGTGGGCAGCAAGTCAGTGCTGTAAGGGAACGACACAGAGTGGGTAGTGATGAAGCTTGTTATTGGGCCCCAGAGCAGTCAGGATGGACTGCCCATCTGTAGGCTCGGGGAACAAACACCAGGACTGCTTATGCAGCCAGGATTTTATAGTAACACTGATAGCATGTTACCTAGCCATCATCTCTGGGCATATGCTGCTCCTCGAAGGGTGAGTGGTAGCAATGTTAGTAATAGATCTTGAAGGATTCCCTTGGGGTGACGAGGAGTGTATCCTGCATCCTCTGCTCTATGTCCCACAGCAGTTCTGCAGTGGCTTTCCCACCCTTTCCTTCTGTTTCATTTTCAGGGCCTTGCTCCAGGGTCTGGCATATAACAGTCAGATCAGTGACCTGCACCTGGACCTTAGTAACTGTGAGGTGAGGACATAACTATGAGGAGGCAGGGCTGAGCAGTGGAATGAGACCTACCCTGCAGTGACCCAACTACCCTCCTTTTAAAGTGGAGCCAAAGCTGACTGACAACCGAAGTCAGCTGGTGCTTCTGATCTGAGCATCTGTGGGTGCACAGCCCATGTTGCTCCCACTAAAGAACATCAAGGTTGGGCAGAGCAATGTAGTGGTGCTGAGTTACACTTCTGTCCATTGGGGAAGTTGGCAACTGTCTACTCCTGTTTGATTATGATTTTGTGCATTTATAAGCTGTTCCTGTGCAAAAAATGTAAAACCAGGGAGTGTATCCAGCATAAAGCCGCTGACACTGATAAAGCATGAGGGGTTCTAAATTAAATCCCTGGCATTTGCATTATGCTTTTAATAATATAAAGCAACTTAGTAGCACCTTGCAGCTCCAGAGTACTGTACAATTTGCTCGGCACCCTGAGAAGCAGCTAAGAATTATGGTGCCCATTTTGCATATGAACACTCATTTGGGAGATTCAGTGAGCCAGCCCAATGCTCTTCCTGCTGGAGCCTGAATGTTAGTGTTGTTCTCTGAGGATTTTGCAGCGTTTTACAGATATCTTTAATTAACAGCACCTTCTGAAGTGATCCTGCTGGCAGTTAAGGCTCTGGGATGGGCGAAGGGCATCATAATCAATTTCTAAGCATTATTGAGGGTCTTGTGGGTGGGATGAAAGGTTCACAAGTGCTTAAATGGCTCAAGGACAAAAGTCCTCTGGGAAGTCAATGGGACCAAGACTACTAAGTGGCTTTTGAGGCTGGACCTTGAGCTCTTAAGTCACTTGGGTCTTTTGAAAATGCTCTCTTAATCCCTTTGCCTTCCCATCCACAAAATGTGGATGGTGATGCCTGTGGTCTTCCGTGAAATGCTTTGTGTCCCATGACTAAAACTTGTTGTCTCAGTGCTCTGGGATATCGTCTTTTACTGCTTCCTCTACACACAGTATCTCTCAAGCACTTTCACTGATGGATCTACCTCTGTTTCCTGTTGGAATAAATTCATCTTGTAATAAAAGAAAACACTCAGCAGGTAGTTTTTAGTGGGTGGAATGTTTGCCCTGTATTTCAGAATGATTCTAGCTCTGTTTATCCTTGACTGGACTTTCCCACGGCCAGATGTTTGTTTATAGAAATGAAAATGTTCCTTTTTATAGGTTGGTTTGTTTGTTTGTTTGTTTGTTTGAAGCTGAGATCTGCAGGTGCCCAGGTGATCCAGGATCTGATTTTTGATGCCAATTCAATTAGTGATTTGGATTTATCAGACAATGGTAAGTATATGGGGGGGGGGGGTTCTTATTCACAATGGCTGGAAATGACTGTATTCTGACTCACTTCGGCACAAGGCTGCATGCTATTGCTCAGCAAAAAACAAGATAAACTACCTGCCACAATGGTCACTAAGGCAGGAGTCCATGAACTCAGTAAAATAACCATATAAAACATGGCAGAGCATATTTTTCTGAAGTGAGGTGGACTTCTGAGCTGCCCTATGCATTGTGTGGTATTACAGGGATCTAAGAACTTGTTTGTGTGAATACCACCTAGTCATAGGTTTGTTTCTCTATTTCCTTGCGATCCCTCTTCCTATGAAAGAAAAAATACCACTGCTGTTATTTGGTGCTTAACTTTTGCTTCTGTCTCTATTAATTCATGTTAAAAACAGGAGCAAGCATGGTATGGCTTGTGGGTACACTGTCCACTGTGTTGCAGGTAGGGCTGGTTGATGGTATGGGCTGCCACTGAGGAACAGGGAGACGTGCTGATTTTGTTGAAAATTCATTTAAAGGAAAACATTGAAATAAAGCATTGTTTGATAGTTGATATTGTGAGAACAAAACATTTTGCTTTTTCCTTTGAAATGGTTTTTATTCCAAAATGTTTTGCCTTCTAACTTTTATAATTGGATGAGAAGTTGAAAGAGGAATTGTCCAAATTCCTTTATTTTGTTCCAGTTCAGAATGAAAATAAATTTGAAATCGTGGAGTTTCTGATGGTTCCTGCAAAGCTCTAGCTGTCATATTGCACATAGACATTTCTGCTGCTCTGCTCTGTTGGAAGCCTTAGGATCACAGGACAATTATGTCTGGTGCCTGGCCTGCAATTAGGAAGGTAGATTTTGGTATTTAAAAAGGGTGGAGCTGGATAGATCAGAACAATCCCATTGCAGATGAAGTCATGGCGTCCCATGGTGAGTTCAGCTCATCTATCTCTAGGGGCCTGTGTTTGTCATCTTTGCTCTGAGCCACTTCAGGGCACTGCATTTTTGAAGGGCTGGACTTGATTTTGGATGATTCTTGTCACTCCTGTTTCCTATAGGTTTTGATTCTGATATGGTCACTTTGGTGCTGTCTATTGGGAGAAGCAAATCAATTAGGCATGTCTCTTTAGGAAAGAATTTTAGCATCAAATCCAAGTGAGTATAACATGACATATTTGCTTGTACCTAGGTAGGACTCTGATAGGTATGATCGTAATACCCGTTTTCTATAAATATAGATATATGTTAAGTGGTAATATTACATTTGTTTATTAAATTGCAGCTCCAAATATAGTTATCCTTTGTTAATAACCACTCAGCTTTCTGCTTACTGCACCTTTTTATATTGCATTGTTCCTATAAATTAGAACCGTGGTCAGCAGCTCAGCCATGACACTGCAGCCCCTACTGTATTGTCATTTGCTGTCACAATTCCCCAAGGCCTGCTGTGCTGGGATAGGTAGCTAGTGCAAGCGTGCATGGGCAGGGCCTCTTGCTTTTTGCATTCATGCTCACTTGCCCTAATGCAGATGTGATGGAAATGTGACTGAAGTGGGGCTGGGGCCTGAGAGAGGGACAGCTGTCCACTCTGACCAATAAGTGGAGAGGGTGCATTAACTATCACTGAGGAAATTACAGCTACCTACAGGTTGGGAAAAACCATTCTGCTGTGGTACCTGTTGGCAGTAGTTTTAAGCCAAAACAGAATGGTCCTCAACTAGGAGTCGACATGACCACACCTTCAAGCTTCTTGGCTCCAGGTTGAAGATTATAACTGACAGCTCTGACCCTCTTCCCTAGGGACAGTCTTGCTGATGTTCTTCACCGGATTGTTCAGCTCACACAGGAGGATGATTGTGTAAGTACCTTCTGTGATGCACATCATCATATTATTGAACCAAGAGGATGAGGTGAATGAGTGCAGGGCTTTGCTCTGTGGTAACAGCCTCTATGCACAGCATTGCCTTATGGTGAGTGACAGCTGGGCCATGGAAGATTCTCTTCCTCTGAGAAGGTCAGTGATCCACCATCTTTATTCTCCATGAAGACATATTTGTTCTTTCTTTGTTGCTTTTCTTAATCTGGAATGAATGATGTAAGTGCTTTCAAGTGTTAATAAAGGAATCAAGAGCTTGCAGAGTCTGTCTGTCAATTCAAGGAGCAGTAAAGACACATCTCATAAAATGGAGGGATTGAAGAGCAGCCCAGAAGGAAGGTGGTGGGACTCTTATTTTGTGTAGAAGGACCTAATATCATGGAGTCTATTCTCAAGGAGCTAAGTAGGCAGTTAAGGCTTATTTAGACCAAACAGGGACTAGATCCTCATGTCATCATGCCTGGCAAAGAGAAAAATACCTGGCTCAGTTCTTTTCTGCTTTACAAAGATGTCATATTTGTTCATACCATCTAATGAAGTAGGTGCTTGCCTATGAAATCTTATGCCTCTTTCAGTGAATTAGTCTCTAAGGTGCCACTCTGCCCTGCCTTCTACCTTAAGAAAAAAAAAAAAGAATATCAAGCCAAGTCTTCCTTGTTTTGTGGAAGGTTTCCTCTTAGGCCCAGAGAACTGAAACATGATTGGAATATACCACACTTAATTAAAATGTTGATGTTTTCGCAAAGAGATCTTTTCTCCCAACTGGTTGTCAGGCATTTAAGTTTAAAACAAACAAACACTAATAGCAACAAAAGAAAGCAATGTTGATTTAAACATTCTTTCCATGTCAGGTGCTTAGTTTTCAGTCCTGTTGCTTGGGTTGTCATAAGCCTGTTAGTCTTCCAGTCATTCACGGAGTCTTCTGTGGAGTACAGAATTTCCCAGCTGGAAATTTAATGTAAAGAAATTCCTTTCAAACCATTTCAAACTGTAAAAGAAGCACAAAAAAAAAAGAAAAAAGGGGCAAAGGTGCAGATGCACACATAACTTTATCTTTGCAGTTAAGACCTAAAAGAAAATCTGTAATGATTGCATAGTGCATTAAACAGCTGTGACCAGAGGCAAAACTAGTCTGTTTAGCCCAGATCTCATTGGATTAGTTTCCCCTCTTCTGACCTTGCCTGACTGCCAGGCTTTTATAGTGTGTACACAGTGGCTGTGTCCTGCAGAATTCCCTCCTCCTGCCCAAGCTGGGCTTCGCATCAAGTCAGGTGCAGCTCTGCTCTTGTTCATCTATTGCCTTTCCCTTGAATTGTTGTCCTGTGTTTTTTCTTCCTGGTTCCTTTGTGTATTATGGATCAAAGGAATGCATATCTGTCAGGATACTTACCCGCTCCATCCCCTCCCAAAGATTATAGCTGAGCACCTAATTATTATTAGTGTAATTATCTTTGCAACAGCCCTCTGCAGCAGGACAGTGCTATTATCCATACTGTGCAGAAGGGGAAATTGTGTAGACTAAGTAAACTGCCTCCATCCTCATCATTCTCTCCCTGTTGTGACTGCTTGCACCAATAGTAGCAGTCACTGCCCAGAGGCTCACGTGGGCAGGTGAGGATGATCCCATCATGGGGGAGGTAACTCTCCTGGGAACTTTTTAAAGGTTCTACCTGCAAGGCTGCAAGGGTGTATATCCTATTCATGCCACCTGGGAGGCTCTGCAGCCCAGAGCAAATTGATATTGGAGAGAACCATGCTTAGCAGCAAAATGAAGCAGTTCTACAACTGACTTAGTTACAGAAGAAGCTTAAAGGAGCTGGGATTAGTTTTTGGAGGGGAAAGGATGGTAGAAAGGGAGGGCGATGTGTGGAATTGTTTGCTGTCTCTAAATTGTAGAACAGAGTAGAGGGTATCTGTTTTTTTTTTTTAAAGCTTCTGGGCTTTGCTGGTTACACACGGGACCAGGAAGGAATCTTCCCCCTCCTGTTGCTATAGCTGTTGGGGATTGTTTTGCCTTGCTCAGAAGCACTGATGTAAGTAAAGGCTGGGGATCTTGTCTGGGATGTACTGATGCTTCTACTGGGACTAAAACCTAGAAGTTCCTGGTTAGAGGTCCTTGCCTGTCTACTCAGGGTCAAACTGATCACCACATTTTGAGGTCAAGAAAGAATTCTATCCCATAGTCATACTGGTTTAGACTATGGGGAGTTTTGCCGTCCTCTGTAGCAGGGGGCATGGTCCTCTTCCTTGGGTCTCTTGAGTGTATTTAACAATCCTTGCATTGGCAGGTCATTGACAGTGCCCTGTTCCTCTGGCATTACCTGTGGCAGGTTGGGGGGGTCCATGGTGTTTTTGGGCTATGTGCCTTGTAATTGTATGATAGTGTCCATGGTATCTTTGGGCTATGTGCCTTGTAATTGTATGATAGACTTGTTTGTATAATTTTAAGAACGGGTTAGACAAGGATTTGTATAGGATGGTTTGGATAGGGATAGTCTTGCTTTGAGTAGGGGATGACACTAGACAATCTCCAGAGGTTCAGGATTTCCTATGATGCTATGGGGATTTCTCACTCATGCCTGTTCTGCTTATGACAAGGACTTCCAGTTGCTACATCTGGGTTCTGGTGAGATGTGGTATCTTGATCTGGCTCAAATTTGCTCTCATTATTATTTTCTCTTGCGGTTAGTGACTGCCAAGGCCCATATCACAATGAAACTACAAAGCAGCACACTGAGAAACCCAGCATGCAGCTTGGAGATCATAAAGCATGTGGAGGGCAATGGATGCTCCAGAAGGAACCTTTTGGGGGAACTCTGCCATTCACTGGCTTTCTCCTTTCTGCACAGGGAGTTTGGGGGAGGAAAGGAACCTACAAATCTCACTGTGCTGGCAGCCACCAGGTTTCCATCTGTGCAGTGAGATAATGCATGCGTGAGAGAAACCAGGATCCTGCATTGCCAGGCATACCTAGACATTTCTCCCTATGTTATTTTATTTCCAGCCTCTTCAGTCCCTGTCAGTAGCTGACTCACGGCTGAAATCAGGAACCAATGTCCTTCTGAGTGCTCTGGGCAGTAATACTAGCCTCATTAAGTTGGACATCAGTGGGAACACAATGGGTGACACAGGAGCCAGGATGCTAGCCAAGGCCCTGCAGATCAACACAAAGCTCAGGTAAAAGGATCTGGACCCCCTACTTCCTTTGTTTCCCTCTGGGCATGTGTGGGGGTGTGCTGTGCCCTGGCACTGTCCTGGCTGCAGTGAAAGTGCTGCATAAGGCTTTCACAGCTAATGAAGTGGATGCCAACTTGTGGGGCTTGGATAAGAAGCAGGTGTCTGTTACTCTGCAATTGCATCTCCATGCCATTGCCTATCAGCACTAATTATACCATTACCTGACAGCCCTCTGCATGTACTTCAAGCAGCATCATGGACAGGGTAGGAACCAGGGCTATGAATTCAGGGTTTCTAGCTTCTAAAAGGAAACCCTGTGATTGTTGGTATGTCTGTCTCCCTGTTAGGCACTATGGGTAGGCAGCTGGGAGAAGGTGAGAGCTGTTGGATCCATCAGCCCCTTGGAACATAGAAAGGGACCTGGCCTGACACCTGGTATGTCAAAGGTGTATGGGAATGGCACTGCCCATCCCACAGGACTCCTGATTGGTCCTCTGCTGCCCTTACCCAAACTGCTATTGGTGGAGTGGGACATCTCTCCTGCACCACTGTCACTGACTGGCTCCAAGCCCCTTCAGCAGTGAGACGGGCCTGAGGAGGGGAATTCCTGCTGCCATTGTCTTATGCTTTGCTTGGGAAGTTGTTCTGCTTTGAGAGGGAAAGAATGGCTGCGCCTCAACTCCTCTCAGCTCAGACCAAGTCATAGTGCACGTTTGGACAGCTGTGCCCCTTAGCACCCTTCCACACAACACAGAAGGAAGTGGGCAGCCCAGATGCTTTACCCTAGCCCTGCTACTTTCCCCAGAGTCGCTTGGGTTACTGAGGTGTAACCACTCTTTTGGGTGCCTATACACGTGCTCAGGGTTGGGGGTGGGGGGAGTGTTTTAATTAGAGTGGTTTCCGGAAAGCTGCTTTAATTAAAATGCCACAGTGCCACGTGTATTAAGCCCCTACACATTTTAAAATGGCTGTGGGATGCTTTAACTAAAGCTCATTTGAGACGCTTTAGTTAAAGCGCCCCAGTGGTCATTTTTAAACCCATACATGACGCTGCGGTGATGCTAAAGCGTTCTAATTAGAATGAGGAGCAGACTCGATTTAATTCTTTAGTCTTGGGCTTAATGGAGCTGTTTGCACAATGGGAACCTAAAAAAATGCCTTCTCCCAGCACGGGAGCCTCGCTGCTCTGAGCAGTGTCAGTAAATTGACTAGCAAACTCCACAGGTGAGTTGCTGGACTCATTTCTTCTCTGACTGAAGGTAATTGCAGTTCCACTGGCTTCTCACACTATCCAGAGCCACAGTAGGGCAAGTGTTTGGGCGCTACTCCTCTCAGCCCTATTCAAATAAACCTCAGTAGGAAGTTGTGGGTTGATTGAGGTTTTTGTAACATCCCTTGCAGTAGAGAAGAGGCAAGCCTGGGCTGCATATAAATGGCATTTTTCAGTGAGGCTACTGGGAACAGACAGAGCCTGTGGTTCTCTCTTCACTCCCAGATGACTAATACTGCTTGTGCTGCCTAAAATTGCCTGCAGGATCTCCTCAAATCCTGGCCTGGATTTAGAAGCCCTGGAAGGGAATGCTTTTCCAGCCGTTGGCTGGAATGGCCCAGCTTGGGTCCAGGGTAAGCTAGTGCTAGGACCCCTACACTGCTGCTTCTCCCAGTTGCCCAGTTCGGGCCCAGTATGGGAAAGCTCCCAGGTGCCCAGCCACAGAGCAGTGCAGGACAGGCAAAGCTCCTGCTACCAAACACCTGTGAAGCCCAAGCTGCATGGCCCAGATCCAGTGGTTCTTTGGACTGGATCCAGTCTGGGTGGGTATAAGCTGGCAACCCTGCACTAGAGAATATAATCCTCTGTCTCCTTGAAATGGGCTGAACAAGCTTGCTTAGGTGTCTGGCGAAGTTTGCCTTTGAGATGGCTGCATCTCTGCTTCTAATTCACCTACAGAACAGGTCCTAAGGAGGACTCTTTTTTTGGGAGGGCGCTCACATCTCTCTTCTCTTCCCAGGACAGTCATTTGGGACAGAAACAACACAACGGCAAATGGTTTCCTTGATGTTGCGCGTGCTTTGGAAAGGTAGGTGAGTGGATGAGTCTCTGCCTTAGATCCTCAGTGCCATCTTGCAGGATTTGCTGCTGTGTGGGAAGTTCTGGCTTGGGATCATTCCTGCAGGGAATTCACCCTGGTTGCTTACTGGGAAGGTGATACTGACAAAGAACAAAGTCTAGAATGGGTTCCGAGGGCATCAGAGCTTCTGCCTCATAGAGATGATGCCTTCATCTGCTGGGGGCTCCCCCAGTTTTGTGTCTATTATGGAAACAGTGGAGGGTTAGAGTCCAGATACGTGCCTACAAGGAAGAACTGTAAGTGCCTTGCTGAGATTCTGTTGCATCCCACTTGAGTCCCTGGAAAACAGTTAATATAGAAGATGAATGTGTCCTATTCTTCAGTGTTTTTTTGTGACTCAGTGTTAAGGGTCAGATTTTTGTGAGATGTATTAATGGATTTTCAGGACTTAAACAGGGTGAAATAGAATCACACTTAGCTCCAGCCAATAGGTGGAATAGAATCAAGTCCTTAATGCATCTCATGTATTATCTCTGATAGAGGTGGTGCTAGCTGCACTGTTCTGAAGCCTCAATACTTGAATGCAGGACAGGGAGGAGTGGTACCTGGTAGGGGGAAGGATGTGAAAGTTAAATTTGAGAAGAAGACAAGGTGGACAGGATGTTTAAAGCTCAGTGGCAACCTGAGGTGGCTGCACAGTGCTGTAGCTGGAATACAGCACTGGGACAGCCCGTTGAGGAAGTAGGATACACTGCAACCTTCCCCACCACCTTGCATGCACAGATCTCCAAGTGCTGTTTGAACATTACTGATCTTAACCTTATCCTCCCCCTCTTCCCCAGAAGGCAGAAAGGGATCTCCACAGATTTTTCCAGAGGATGAAATTGAGGGCATGAATGAATTTGATGTATTCTCCATTTGAAACATCTTAAAACTATCAATTTTTCAGAAAGTGCTAAGGATGCATTCTTGGAAAATATGGGTCATTTACCTCAAGTTCCTTTGGAAAGCAGAGGCAGTAATATCAGACAGCATTGTGCGAATACAAGAACCATCACAATTCAAGATACTCTTCTAACCTTAACTAAATAATGTTGCCTCCTTAGGAATTACACCCTGAAGTCCATGCCTTTGCCAATGAGTGATGTGATGCAAGCATATCGGAACAATCCAGAAAAAACAGAAGAAGCGGTGCACAAGGTTGGTTTCTTGAGCAGGGCAGGTCCTGATGCTGCTCACTGACCCTGTGACTCCAAACCCTTCTTGCTGACTGGCTTTTTGCACATTGCAGATACAATCTTGCCTAATGAGGAACCAGATGCGGCGAGCCCTGCCCAAGCAAACCTTTCGGCTGCAGCAGGGGATTGTGACCAGCTCATCCGAACAGGTCAAGGGGGGCTAAACACCAAAGTCTTGATTTGCACCTGTCTGGGAACCAGCCAAGGGCTAGAAGATTGGGAAGTCTGAGGGAATGGTGGTTGGGCCCTAAAGTGCACTGGGGTTGGAGTTACGTGGATGTAACTCATGCAAATTGCACCTTTTTCTGCACTCATTTAGTGCTGGCAGGATTGAACCCAGCCGTTTGCTTCTGGATGGCAAACACCAGAGCAGAACGTAGCCCCTGCCCCTCCTTAGCTGGTACCAAGGTCTGCTCCCACAATTAGCTATAGCAATATTAGTGTCAGGGGCTGACACAATGTCTGCCCTTCTTGCTAATTGTATACCAATGAGCAAAACTTCACAACCTCCTGGAGAAGTAGGCAAAGGGCAGGCTTCCTGTTTTGTAGCTGGGGAAACTGCGGCAGGGTACAGGTTCACCGGCCTTCCCAAATGTCACCCAGTGAATTGGTCATGGAGCCCCTGCATACCAGGCCTGTGCCTCAAAAACAAGGCCATCTTTCCTCAGAGACTGCAGGGTTGCTGGAGTCATACCCTGATGTATAACCACTGTCTGTGCTGTGCTTTAGATGGTGAATGAGTTGTGCCTCAGTGTACAGAAGCACATCGATGTTCTGAACTCATGCCTGGGGAGAGAGGTGGAAGCTGATATCCTCAGTGCAGAGGAATCCATTAAGAATGCAAACCATTCCATCAGTGTAAGTTTTTGATTTACCACTGCTTCTTGATGTGCACCACGATGCTGTTCCCACTACTCTGGCCTTTCCTGCCTGCCTTTTAGCCTAGTCCTCAAGAAGATCAAATAAAGGAGAATTGTCCTTCCCACCCTGTTGTTAGGACTTTGGTTGCACTTCTGTCTTAAGTCCAGTATTGTTCCCTTTCCCCCAGCTGCAACAAACAAAGCAAAATCCCTGTCAAAATTTGTGCATTAGGCTTGGGGCTGGGGTAGACTTAATCCTAGCAAATGTGACATGGATTGGATAAGGGGCTCTTGAATGAGAACACACAAAAATAGAGAACTCCAAAGCGTGTCCCCCAGAGTCTCCTCATGTTGTGACAAAAAGAGTAGGAGCTACCCTGGGTGAGCTACCCAGTGGGAAAGATAAGTTGAAACTCTAATTTTAAAAGTAGTTATGTGTGTGTAAACTGTACCATGGCAGAGGCTTAGAAATCAAAGGAGGTTGTCACCAGGAGACCAGAGTTTCCCTTTGAATTAAACAAAACAGTTTCTAGCTCTTTTCCTGGGAAATGGGAACTTAATGTGAATGTAACCCAGGTGTACCAGAGAGTGTACTCCCCTCTCCAATAGAAGAGGATGGTCAGCAGAGTGTACATGCTAGAGATAGAAACTGCAGCTTGTTTGCAGCTTCCCCTTCTCCAGTGTCTCTATAGAGGAAGACCAGGACATAATACCTTAACTATATACATGGTTTATTCAGGTGCAGAATGAAAGGGGAGGGGATAGAATAAACTGGACAGATGATAAAGATAAATATTTACATATAATATATTCAAGTCAGCAAATAACAGAACAGGTAAGTATAGCAGTCTCCCAAAGACCCATGAAAGAAACCTTGCCCACAGGTCCCCAGATGGTAGTATGTCCCAACAATTGATGGGTAAGCACCCCAAATTATAAAGCACAATAAACAGTTAATAAATACTCCAAAATATAAGACACAGCAAGCAGTTAAAAACACTCCAGAAAGTCTGGTAATCCCAAATACCCCCCTGTAGAGGATACTCTCTCTAGCATAAAACCCCTCTGATGGGGCTATCCACTATGATTCTCCCTGGTGGGAAACCACTTGCCCAAGAACTTGTGCTTCCTGGTGAGTAGGGTCCAACAAGGGTTCCCGGGGTTTTGTCCACAGCTAGGCAAGTGGCTTCTACAGCGGGCGCTCTGTCTCAGTCCCCGCATTAGGTCTCTGGCTGGCTCACATGCCTGGATGACTCAGCCTGCTCAGCCAGTTGCGTGCCTTGGCCGCCTTGTGTGTGCCCAGGGCTGGGGCTCCAGTACAGGCCCACCGTACTGTGGAGGCTGCACTGTCCATGGGCCCCTGCACCCAGCAGTGGGGAATGGGGCCCAAAGCGCTCCCTGCCCCCTCCAAAGGCCCTCGGCCCGACAACGACTCACCATGCAGCAGTGTCCACTGGTGCCTCCTGAGTAGGGGGGAAAGGGGGGGGGGCACTTGCTCCCGCAGTGGACAGTCAGCAACCGGGGAAGGCCTGTGGCCAATCCCGCCAACCTGCAAGTGGCGGCAGTGCACGGCTGGCACTTCCAGGTGAGCATGATTGGCCACGAGGGGACCACTTTGCCTGGTGCCCCCACTCCCCTCAGCTGGCGCTCTCGAGGGGCACTAGCACTCTCACCTGCCCCCCCCCGGGAATGCTGCCTGTCAGGGTGCGCCAGCACTCTCACCGAGTAATGTGCACCCCCTACGCATCACCACTGGTGGCAGCTGCACTGGTGCTGGGGTTGTAGACCCGAGCCGCCTCAAGTGGCTCCCAAGGTCCCGGTCCCTCTCGGACCCTTCATACAGCAATGCCTACACTGGCTCGCCATGCTCTCTCATGGTGAGGGATTGGGGACATGGCTGCCTGCCACTCCCACCTGACGGTGGAGTCTTTGGGCTCTTCAGGGCAACTAGAAGCACCCCCTGGGTAGCTCTTCCCTAGCTTTTCCTCAGCCCTAGCTTCTTCTTTCTTCTCTGTCCCTCGTTGCCCCCCCCTCCCCCCACATGCTGTGCATGCAGCTCCTTACATACCCTTTTGGGGCTCTGCTGCCAGATTGAAGACTGGCGAATGGGGGGGAGGTGGAGCGCAGTCTTCAATTAGGTCCACTCCTTGCCTCACCCCGAAGTTGGGGCAGGGCAGACTCCTCCCTAGGCTCCTCCCCTGCTGGTCTCTGATTGGTGGGTTTGCCCCGCCAATCGCTTTGGCAATTCTCTAAGCTCAAGGAGCCAGGAGAAGATAGGCAAGCCTGCTACATGAATAGATCCTGCTATCGGTGGCTTGTCCACAGAGAAAAGGGAAGATGAGCTTCAGTTTGAGGAGAAATCAAGGAAGGTAACTGAATACTTTCCAGTGAAAGAGGATATGAGTGGAGAGCTGATTTTTTTTTTTTTCACTTGGCTGGCAGTTCTGTGCAATCAAAATGAAATTGGTGAACCCAAAAAGTTTTGTTTTTGATGGAAAGCAGTACTGAGACGTAGAGGCTTTAAGGTTTTACAATAAAACTGAAGAGTTTTGAATGAAAAAGGAAATGTTTTGTTTTGAACATGTGGCAGTGAAACCTGTTTAAGCCTTTTCAAATATTTTGTTTTTCAGCACAACAGTTTTGCAAAACTGACACACATTTGCAAAATGTTTTGGCATTGCCAAAGTGCTTTTTTTTTTTTTTTTTAGCTGAAAAATGTCACCCATCTCTGCTTCCAGCTGCCAGGTGCTAGAAGGATTCTTCTTTGACAGCTCTTAACTTCAGAGTTGGGAATGAGGATTAGATTAATTTATTTACTGAGGGGAAGCCTTTCCAGGCTTTGTGCCCCACCAAAGCTCTTGTAGACCTCCCAAGATGTTCCCTTGCTGTGAACTGGAGGAGTAGGGTTAGCATGAGGCTTGGGAAGGTGTCAATGATAGGAGATAGTCAGGCAGGTGGGCAGAGGGGTGCAGCATCTTGTCCATCTGTAGTTCTGGGGAAACTTGTTGCAGCTCCTTCACAGACATTGTTCATAGTCCAACTTGCCACCACTGATGGGAAGAGTATTGCCTGGCCAGCCATCTTAAGCTCTTTGCAGTAACCCCATACTTACTGCACTTGGCAGATCCCAGATACCAATGGGCCAAAAGGAGCCAGCATTCCCACCCAGGCTTGTTGGGTGGCTGACACTCCATGGGGGAAGAAAGTGGGGGTGGGGAGGTAGCCCTGATCAAGCAAGCATAGTCTCATCAGGTGTAGACATCCTGGGGATGCTCTAGCTTCCCAAGTCTCATAGGGGTCCCACTCTTTTTCTTTCACAGATTTCAGTTGGGATTGGAGGTTTCAAAATGCTTCCTGTAGCTCATCAAGCCATCTGTCTTACTCAGGCAAAGTCCCCCCCCTGTGTGCCTTCTAGGGCCTGCAGGGATGAGGATCCCCAAGATATCCACAGTGGAGGAGGGTGATGCTCCTGTGTTGTCCCCCAGAACCCCTGCCTGCAGATGCAGGTACATCCCTAGGAAGGGACCCCTCGCAGGGAGAGCAGAACAGGGTGTGGCTGTGGTCCTGCACAACCTCCATGGAGCCCCTGCTTCCCATGGAGGACTCGGACATTGAGGAGACTCACACAAATAACCTGTTATGACAAAGTGAAGACTCAGACAAATATCAGTTGTGTGTGGGGGAAAGGCCTTGTGAGAACATTGTAATTAGTACAAACCTCCATTAGCCAGCCAGAAAATTCAGTCAGAACTAAGCTGAGAAAATGCAAACATCTGCCACTCAGGAGATGCATAATTAAGGGAATCAAATGGCTTTAACTCTTTCCTGCCACAATGCTCTGACACAGGCCCAAACACAGCCTGCTTTGCTTTTCCATTGCAGGCATTTTCATCTGATCAGAGAGCAGTAGAACCAGGCTGTGCTGGCCTGGCCTTCCTAAGTCACACCTGCCAAAGCTGACAAGAGCATGGGGACACAGGTCCAAAAGCCTCTGGATGCAGCTGGTGTTCTCTGGTGCTTTTGGTACCTCAGAATAGGAAGGTGATGTCTCCATGAGGGCTCAGCTAAGGCAGCCATGATTATTATTTCTAAGTCACTGCTCTTGTTCTCAGTCTTAATAACTCCTTACCCAAGGAATTTATTGGAAGCGTCAGGAGTGTGTCTGTGTTTGCCTCTGGCTCTGTAGAGAGAAGTTTGTAAATGCTGTGGGTTTTCTGTTCAGGGAGTAAAGTTGGCTTTCTCATTCAGCTGAAAGTGGTAATGTTGTGGCAGTTCTTAGTGGAGAGTGATCTGGGCTGACATGCTGGAGTGGGTGAACTTTGTCTGCAGCTTCTCACCTGAAGGGAGCTGGCACGGATTACCGATGGACTGCAAACTCTCCAGTTCTACCCGGGGGAACTCCAGCCTGGGACCTGCAGGGACTGTCCTGGCTGAAGTCATGCCAGTGGTGAAGGGGTTAATTGTTCCCCCAGTGAGGGGTCACCCTCACTGTTGGATGAGCTAGTGCAACAACACCTCTGATTCCCACCTGCTGTATGTTCAGCACCTTGCCTGGATGGGAAACGCGCTCTTTTGAGCTGTAGAAGGGTCTAAAGCAGTTCCACTTGGGTTACAGCAAGACAAACAGCAGAGCTGGAGGAGTGAGGCAGAGGGATCTATGTATGTGCCCCTCGTGATTGTGTCAGTGGCTGTGGATATAACGGTTATATTTTTTACCACCTGCTTTTCCCACTCAGTTGATGTCAGTGGCCCTCTATTCCCCTCAGATATCTCTAGTGGTAGGTCATCAGAATTGCCACAAAACAGGGAAGCCAGTGACGTTTCTAAAGCCAACTATACTCATAGTGACTAGACAGTGGGATAAACACAGGACAGTGCTTGTTGTCTCACCAGGGGCGGGGGGAGCAGTGAAGCGCTCCAGTGAAATTTCATCCAAGATGATGCTGTTAATGCTGTGAAGATGACAGAAAGGGCAGGAAGACATCATCATCAAGGGAGCAGTGTGGCTTGACCTAGCTCTCTTTGTTAGGTAAACAACAAAAGGGAGCAGGCAGTCAATAAAGAGTAATCAACAAAAAGATAAGGAGAGAGAAGTGGAGATCTTGGAATAAGAGAGCTCAAGAAAGGGTGGAAATATCTAGATTAGTTCAGACCCTAGCCTAGCCTGGCAAACAGGTGAGGTTGTGGGGCGTATCATGAAACCAGCGGACGTTTGTACATGTGACGAAAATGTCATTTATGTGGCTTAATGGTGTTGCACATTAGACGTCCGCCAGTTTTGGGTGTTTTAGATGAATTTGCATTGTTGGGTGCATCCGGATGTCAGTTCACCCCCCAGCCATGGGAGAGGCAGGCAGGCTCCTTGCTGGTTCAGGCAGCTGTTGAAGGCAGAAGCGGTGAGGGGTCCTACCCTTTTTTATTTTTCCACAGAGTCTGCTCACCTCTCCCACAGCCAGGGGGCAAGCTGCCAGTGGGCCTTGAGCTGTGGTGGGCCCTGGTCCTTCCCTCCACAGCAGTGGTGCCCCCTGGGGCCTCCCAGGCGGGCAGCTAGCTGTCTGGGTGCTGCCCCAGTTCAGAGGCAGCACCCAGCCCAATCCAACTGTTCCTCAAGCCCCCTGCTGGAAGTCTGCCAGGTCCTGCTCCCTGGGTGGGATCGGAGAACAGTTGGATCAGGTTGGGTGCTACTTCCAAGCTGGGGCAGCACCTGGCCTGCTAGCAGCCCACCCGAGTGGTCCTGTGGGGCGCCATCACCATGGAGGGAAGGACTGGGGCCCCCTACAGCTCAGGGGCCACTCAGTCCGCTGGCAGCTCACCTCCCCAGCCACGGGCATGCTCCAACTCTGCCAAAAAAAAACAAGAAAAAAGGACCAGGTCCTTTTTTGTAACATGACAGAAAAAATTTAAAAAATTCAATTTAGGGGGCATAGAATAAAACCCTATAGACTAAATCTGTCATGTGTACAAGCACCCAATGTGCTCATGGATATGATTAATATTCTGTGCTCAAGACAGTCCCACTAGAGCAGAGAACAGGACATTGGGTGGAGCAGGGATAACTGCAGATCCAAATAGAACTGCCTTGGTTGGGCTGGGAGCAGCTTGAGACTGAAATAGCTGTGGGGTGCAGATGGTGGCCCGGGGGCTTTGTGTTGGCTGAGCTGCGGGAAGCCAAGGAGTGGCCAGCAGGAGACGGAAGCCTATGCAGTGCTTGCTTATGTTGTGTGGGGCAGAGTAAGTGAAAATTAACTAACATGGCAATGAAGAACTAGGTGTTAAAGCTGATCTGCGGATAATTCATGCCCTGGTGGGTTTTCTAGGTCTTTTGGAGACCAGTCCATTCACCTCTGAGATGTCTCTTTCCCCCACAGATCTTGCCACTCTTATATGAGGCAGGAGATGCTCCCTACCAGAATGGTAAACTGCAGCATAAATTGGAAAGCCTTACAGAAGAAGCCTCGCAGGCCTGCAGCCGTGAGATTCAGGTAGGCACTGCAACAGTATTGGCACTGTTGCTACTGCGGATAGGGAGCAAAGCACATCCCTGGGCCATTGCCTGCCTCGGATAGCAAGGAGACTGCACAATTTGGGAAAAGGCTATGGACAAGGATCTTGCCCAGAGATTGGTTTGTGTTCCCTCCACTAGACTGAAAAGATTTCATGGGCATGCTCCCTTCCAAGAGCAGTTCTCTCCATCCTTGGGCCTTCTCCTGGGAACCCCTTCTCCCCTGGTCTTCAGTGGGATCAGCCCTGGATCTCCTCATTCTGCAGGGCACACAAAACTAGGGAGCTATTAGTGGGAAACCTGGCCAGGCTAGTTCCTAGCAGTTGCTCACTGTCATGTGGGCGGACTGTTTCTCTGGGAGCTGTAGCCATCTGGGCATGGTCAAGTGGTCTTGCAAGGGTGCTCAATACCACTTCTGGTGGGCATTGTCATGAGCACAGGAGCAGAGCTGGCAGCCCATGCCAGGAGGATTATCATGTACCAGGAGGAAAGTTCAGGATTTTGGATTTTCTTTTATTATTGTAGCTCCTGCTCTTTCTGATATATTTGCTTCTTCATGCCTTGCCTTCTTGTGACCAGACAAGCTGAACTTGGAGATGTGTTCTATTTAGCCAGCTCTCTGGGCAGTTGCAGTGAGAGCAATGCTCTGAGACTTGTGGGGGGTGTTTGAAATGATTCCTGTACCTTCTAAAGAGTCGCTCTAGATTTGCATCAGTGTCACAGAGGACCTACATCCATGTCAAAGAGGAGCCAGGATGAGCTGAAAGGCAATTCTGGAGCTGGCCTTCCAGTCTGCACCATACCAGAAGTGCCTTATCCCCCCAGACATGCTGCCAGAGTTTTCAGGCAGTTCAACAACCTGTCTCCCCTGCTTCTGCCTCAGGACACATTTCTCTGGCTAGAACACTCAAAGGATCCAAGCTCCGTGATGCCTGGGCTTACCTGGTTTGGTATTGGGCTCATCAGCTGCCTCAATTATTCCCTGTAGGGCTCCCCAGCAATTTTACTGTAACACCCTTACTTGGGAGCTGATTTATTAATGTAAAGTTAAAAAGGAAACACATAAAGCTATTTCTCTGCCTAGCCATCTGCCTGGGAGCTAAGGAGTTTTTCTCCAACAAATCTCAAGCTTATAAGTTACATCCCTCAGCAAGCCCGATTCTGAATTGTGTGCTCCCCTCACATGACACTTGGACCATGCCTTTTACATGGGAAGTCAAGTTACATCTGAGCCCCAACTTTCTTCAAGGTCCTTCACATCTTGGGACACCCTCTAAATGACTGGCTCAGCCCAAATGGAACTGATGTGGCTTCATCCAATTGGCTGTTTGCTGCTTTAGGGCATTTTTACATGACATGGGGGTTTAATTCTCCCTAAATTGAAGCAGTGTTTTTTTTAACAACACCACTTCAATTTAAGACAAAGTAAAACCCCATGTCATGTACACCCATGTTGGAGCCCAATCCTTGCCTGCCTCTCCAGCAGCAGGGAAGGGAGAGCAAGCTGCTGGTGGGCAGAGTGGTCCCTGAGCTAGGGAGGTGGGGGGGGTTGGTGGTTCCCTCTGCGGCAACAACAACCGCCCCCCGCTCCCCCCGGCCAGGTGGCACCTGCCTGTGGGCACCCAGCTTGGGCAGTCCTGAAGGGCACCACAGCTGTGGAGGGAAAAATCGGGCCCCTGTGCAGCTCAGGCAGGCAGGAAGGCTTCGCGGAGGGGGAGAAGATCAGGCTTGTCACTTTTTCCCCCCCGCCCCTTCTGTGGAGTCTGCCTTACCAAGCTGCTGCCAGGCTGTCTGCATGGTCTGCCTGTGCAGTCCCTGAGCCTCATGGAGCCCAGTGCTTCCCTCCGTGGCTGTAGGGTAGGAAACTAAAATTCCTCGGAGGAGTTTAACTTTGCAGTGCCCCGAAGTCATTTGCTGCATCCCAAAGTCATTTAAGGTGCATTACACCGCTGAATGTGCTATGGCAGCTGGAATTAACGTGCCATACGCCACCAAATCTGCAAACAGCAGTGCCATTAAAGTGATGCAAAAGGCATTTAACCAGCTTTAAACCCGCTTTAAAGTGTCGTCTACAAACGCTCTTAGGCAGTGAGTATTTAACAGAGTACATACTGTCTTGGTGGCTGCTTGCTGAACTGGAAATCTGAAACATGCAATGGCATGTACTAGGGACATACAGGTTGAGGTTAAAGGAAACTATTTGTATCTAATAGACCAGACTAGCATTGCCTAGCTGACCTTAGCTTTCCCCAGTGCCCAGGAAAGAAATAAAACGACTCATAAAATCTGCTGTCCTCAAAGAGACACCACTTGAAAGTCACCTGTTAGAGGGTAAAAGGGCCTGTCTAGCAGTGGCATTTTCTGTTTGCTGAACTGTTTGCTGTTTAAATTAAACACTAGAAAACGGCCCTTCTCCAATTGGCAGAAGACAGCTAGAATTTGTTAATGAAGGGCCTCTCTGGCACCTTGTCAGCAGCCCCAGGATCACCTTTTGATTTGCATGAAATGGACAAAATTAAATTCATTCGTCTTAAAAGGTGACCTGAAGAGGTGAAGAATTGTGTCAGCTCTGGATTTGCTTTTCTATGGCATATAGAGAAAGTGTGAAAGGTGGAATTCTGTTTAAGGGACATCTAAGTAATCTTTTTTTTTTTTTCCTTTTTATTTATTTTTAACCTCTGAGATCAGGAATGTAAAGTTTTGGTCTTTGTTGTTCTCAGTGGAGGTCTTGATGGCTAACCCAAAGCTATGGTTTAAAATCTCTATGTCCTTTTGAAGGAATGGCTTTGCTGAGTTTTTTAAGAAAGAGATTTTCTAACAAAACCCAAAGCTTTTGGAATGATCTCAATAAAATCTGGTTCTTCCCACAGCCATCCAGATCTCACTTCCTTGGAATATGTGTTACCAGACACATCCTAGCTCTCTTCTCAGCCAGAAAGTCTTTCAGGACCCGTGGAAGACAAGACCAGACTGTCTGATTTAAAAACAACCAGGAGAAAAAAGCCCTTTTGAGAACTCCTTCCCTCCTGTTCCCTGTCATGTAGAAGGGCCTGAGCTGTATTGTT